TATATATATATATTTTAACATTTTTTTAGTTTTTTTTTAGGTTGGGTCGGGTCAACCCGACCCACAAAAACACAACCCATCAACCAAAACAGGCGAAAACAGATCGAACCTAAAAAAGGGAGAGTAAATTTACGATTCGTCATTTTCAAAAGAAAGAACACATTCATCATAAAAAAATCACATTCATCAACGAAAAACAAAAAGGAAAGCACATGAACTGAACTTTTTTTTATCTTTCATTGATTTTCAATAAACATATACAAACGTAAACATCACAAAAGCATGTCACGGAAACAGAAAGGCAAAAGAAGCAAACACGGCGGAGCTTTTTGGGTAACAGATCGGAGTCCGATCTGACGGATCCCACCCACGAGATCAAGCCCAGATCATTCCCCTCACTGCCTCCCCAAAAAGACTCCTCTGTTGCAGGAAAATACCTAGCAAAAGGAGGCTGAAATATCGCCGGAATCAGCTCGGTTTTCTTCTCTCTCCTTCCCCGAAACCCAGAACAATGACTCCCAAATCAAACTCCAAAAGTAGAAACCCCGGCCTCAATACCAGAAGAGATCCCCTTCCAGCTCCGAAAATCAACCAGAAAAACCCCTTCTATTGCTCTCGAAGCTCAGCCGAAACTCCCCAACCAAACAGACCCAAAATCAATACCCAAAACCAACCCCCTAAAATCAATACCCACCCCACCCTCAATCTGATTTTTCCTATATATATACCCAAAATAAAAGATAAAATAAATAATAAATAATGAAAAGAGGCCTTGCTCTGTCAATCAATAATGATGAAGATTTTCTGGCAGGTACTGTAGCGAGCAGAGGGCATGATTGCTGGCGCAGAGTGCAGGCGTGCAAGCAACGTGGGTTCGGCGCAGAGTGCAGGCGTGCAAGCAACGTGGGTTCGGCGCAGCAGACGGCAAGGGCTGGTTCGGTGCAGCAGCAGGGGCGTAGGGGGCATGATGGCTCGGGTGTGCAGGGGCAGAGTGCAGGCGATCTGGTGCGAGGCAGGTGCGCGGGACGCAAGGCGTAGGGCGCGGGGCACAGGCGCGGGCGTGGGCGTATGGCTGCCGGCTGGTTTGGGTGTGAGGGGAAGAAATGTTCTGGAAAGAGAGAACGAATACTTTTTTAAAATTTTTTGTTTTTTGGTTAAATGGTTTTTTTTTTTGTTGGGTTGGGTTAAATGGGTTTTGGTTCCTTGGGTTTTTGGGCTTCTGGGCTTTTGGGTCTGAGACTTTAAATCAAAATGGGTTGGTGTTGGGTTTGGTTTGAGTTTTGGAGTGGACTTTGGGTTTGATAGGTTTTGGGTTTGGGTTTGAGAAATGGACTAGATTTATAGCTTAAAAGATTTCATCCCCAAACTTTTGATTTCTTCAATTGAGTCCCTTGTTTCTTCTTCTCCCACTTTTTCGTGAAATTTCCTTTTGCTTGCAAACCTAAAAATGAAAGTAAAATCGAACAGATTAATAAAGATAAAAACTAACATAAAATAAA